GGGGGGGGACCGTCCAGCCCTGCTTAAACTCGGGGGGGGGGGTCTTTCTTCCCACGCCCGATCCTCCGGACAACAGCCTTGCACTCAGTCTGGGGGCGGGGGGGGGGGGTAGGAAGCTGACAATGTGGGGGGGGGGTCTGCAACCAGGTTGATGAAGGCACCCCACCCCAGGCCCGCGTGGGGCATCTTGCCAAGCTGGGAGCCTGGTGCGCGCTTCCCCGCCGCCTTCCTAACCTCTTTTCAAAGACTTTCTCGCCCCGGTTATGCAGGGTTTTTTTTCCCTTTAACCTGAAATGATAAACAGAGCCATGGCCCTTAAAAGAGAAGTAATTATCTCCATTCTGTGTTTGATCCGGGGCAATAAAGCAACCCCCGAGGGAAAACGGGGACGGGCAGTTTGGGCTGGAGGAAAAAACTCAGGGTATTAAAAGGCCAGTCCTTTCGGAGGTTGGCATCATCAGGTTGGCTTTAGCCAACAAGGACACGAGACTAAAAAATGAACCACCAGGCGCCCGGTTTGAAACCCTCCCAAAATCAACCAAACCAAAGTCTGTTTAGTTGGATTATTTCTCCTAGCCTCATCAGAAAAACCCTACAAGTTTGTCCTTCCTTTGGAAACGATATTTTTTTTACTGGGAAAAAACAAGGGCAAAGGTTTCTTGTAATCTGCTATGGGAACAATACCTAACTGGAAAAGTAGGGTATCCCTCGTCATCGCAGTCATAATAAAAATAATAATGACTGATGCTAGGTTGGCAGAAGCTGGGACAAGTAATGGGAGCACTAGGGATTCGAACCGCCTTTCTGATCGACAAGTTCGGTGTCTTAGCCATTGAGCCTCTGTGTCTCTTAATGAATGATGATAATAATCAAAACCATACAAATGGTGGGTTTTAGTAGAAACCCTCCCACACTACCACCTCTTACAATATTAGACAACGCAGTTTCAACAGCAGAGACCTTCAGGTTTCTAGGTTCTATCATATCTCCAGACTTAAAATGGACCCCTAACGTCCAAAATGTCATCAAAAAAGCACAAGAAAGAATGTTCTTTCTGTGCCAACTCAGGAAGCTCAAACTTCCCAAAGAGCTGCGGATTCTGTTCCACAGAGGAATGATGGAGTCTTGTCCTCTGCACCTCCGTAACTGTCTGGTTTGGCTCTGCAACCCAACAAGACAGACACGGACTTCAACAGATAATCAGAACTGCAGAAAAAACAATGGCTGCCAACCTGCCTTCCATTGAGGACCTGGACACTGCACGAGTCAAAAAGAGGGCTGTGAAAATATCTCCAGACCCTTTGCATCCTGGACGTAAATTGTTTCAACTCCTACCCTCAAAACCACGCTACAGAGCACTGCACACCAAGACAACTAGACACAAGGACAGT